CTTTGAGCTATTATCATCTGGCACAGAAATAGCATGTAAATAAAAGGAAGAAGAGAAAAAGCAGCAAGACACACACAAAAAAAAAAAAAAAAAAAAAAAAAAAAAAAAGGGATTTCTGATGGAGGGAGCAAAGAACCTGGTTCTCCAGAGTCCTGGAAATGAGAGCAGAGCTCTTCATTGTAGGTGCAAGGAGCACCTCAACAGGCCTTGCACAGCAAGAAGCCCCTTCTCCTCCTGCTTCTTTGACCTGCCTGGATGGTTGGAGATGGGGCATAAGCCCCAGAGCAGCCTCAGGGCAAGAGCTGTCTGCTGCAGAGACGTGGGTTCAGAGCAACAAGGACCACATTGTTTCTGCAGCAAGGGCGGCAGGCTTTCCTAGCACAGCTGAAGAGGGTAAGTATGTGCAGCAGGCACCACTGAAGCTGATCAGCTGTGATTAGCTGACTGTAGGGAGACCATAAAAGCCATCCAAGAGCTAAACAGCCCCCTTTCCTGTAAGATCAAGGTATCTTAGGGGAGAAAGGCAACTCTCAGTAGCTGCAGGGCTGCCTCTTTGGAAGCCTGTGTGATAAACATAGAGGATTCTGCTGCAGTGATCCCAGAGTAACTTTCCTGTAGTTCTTGRTGGGAAGTGTGGCTCGTGGACGATGTGCTTAGCAGTTCTGTTCCTCAATAGTTCCCAGTCTTGTTGTCTCAGCTGCAGAAATATTCTCCAGGTTTAGCAGAGCAGTGAAAATACCAGCCCTGCTTTTAGAGGGAGCAGAAACAAAAGCTGGGCTGATATATCTGGGGTGATGTCTAGTTACAGGCTGTTCTCTGCCATGCCAAATATTTCTGTCCATGCAAAAGGTTGTTTAAATATATTAATCAGTTTTTCTTGAGGTATTTTATGGGCCCTGATTTTGTATTCCATTGCAAATGTGACCCAGGATGAAACTTTGGCTCGGGCAAGACAAGGAAGATGTGCTAGTGGATTAGCAGGTCCTGCTAAGGCGAGATCTTCTGCTGTGCAGAGCAGGGGTCAGGCACGCGTGAGGGGGCTTTGGGTCTTGGCCTCAGTGAGTTCTCTGGAGTAACGTTGCTTAGCTGGTGTCAGCAGTGTGACACTAAACTTGCCTTGTGTGCAAGATCAGCGTGAGCCCTTGAAAAGAAGACTCCACCAAGACCCCTTGTGGCTACACACAATGAGCGGAATTGGGTAAACTTGGCAATAGAGGACAAAGGGATGAAATACTCTGTTTTGTACTGAAAGTGTTCTGTATTTATTTGCTAGGGCTTTCTGGGGGTCTAACGCTCCTGTGTTTGGTGAATATTTGCTCTTTGTTGTGTGTGTTGCTCCAGCTAGACCAGATTTTATTTCTCTGTGGGGTTGGATTGCTACTAAAAGGCATAGATTTGCTCAAGTGTTCCCCAAAGTCTCTGTCTTCAGCATGCTCATTGGCAAATAGATTAGTCATAGGGAATAAAAAGCTTCAGTGCAGGATGGAGAATTATGTTGAGATGAGATGTTGGTTTTTATTTAATCATATAGTCTCAGTTGCTTCTTGATAGTACTTTTTTTTTTCCTACAGATGGAAAGCTATTGGTTAACTAGTGAGTACTAGAAAAGAAGCTGGTAAAAACTGCTTGACTTCACTGAAAGGGYTAAATTTGTCCATTCAGCTGATTTGCACAACAGGGTAAATCAGAATGGGTAGAATCAGRTTGCAAACAGCCCTGTGCACATGAACACAACCATGCACCAACTGTCTTCGAAGCAGGTGCTTCTCTCACTTAGCTTCAGTCTRAATGTTGGATTCCCTTTAGATTCCCTCCACTTTCAGGCCCACAGGGAACTGTATAATCGAAGTCGCTTGCTAGGACTGCCTTGGCGTGGGAGTGAAAACACAGGTCCAAAGGCTCTTAAGGTGTGATCTGCCCACCCTGTGCCCCTTGCCGTGTCACAGCTCCTTGCCTGAGGAAGGCCATCAGCTTCCCATTAGGTGCAAAGGGGTCTTGTTTAAGGGGGAGGTTGATCTCCAAAGAAATGATCTGGCAGGCTTTCCCTCAGTTAAATTGGTTGACTTTCTTGTCCCTTCCCTATCCGTTGTCCACTGTTTCTGTGTTTCTTTTAGTATATGAAGTGCAACAGCCTCCTGTGTTGCACTTGAACTCTCATAAAGCCGCTCAAGGGAATGAGCTTCACACAGCATTGCTTACTGTAGTTCTTTCAAAATCATGAATTGACCACCTGAGGTAATTAAAGAGTACAAGCTGAGAATGCTTTTTCTTTGTTTTCTGGTTTTTGAGAGCTCTACCCATATCACCAACTTCGGGTACCTAAGAAAGTGCCTCCAAAGCAGGATTCACCTATTGGTCTTAAATCCTGTTTTATATCTGTGTAAACATATCCAGCCTCCACTTATGGCACTTTTAGAATGAGATGAATTGTACTTTGGAGGCTCTTCTCTCCATGCTTTGTCTCTCAAGGAAACATAGACTGGCCCTATTGGCCTTGTCTCAATTTCTGCTAGAAGGTAGATGTCTCCTGCCTAGTCATCTCAATTGATAGAGGGTTAAGGATAAGTTGAAGGCTTTAGGCGGTTCAGACTGCAGGGGAAGAGAACCAAATCACGGACCCCATCCCATCTCTAAAAACTAAAACTTGCCATCCTGCTTTTGCCCTTGCTCATGGGAGGATGATGGTCTCTGCAGAGACTCAGGTTTGTTGGAAGCTCAGAAAAGTCATTTTGCTAAACTGGTTTTAAGCCTCCCAAAATTCAACCACAAGACTGTAAATCCTTGGCTAAGATTCCCCTTGGCCTCAAAAGAAGAGAATGAGACACTACATTTTTTTTTTCTTCTTTTCTTATGGGCTGCAAGKTTTCTCCTATGAAATATAGGGGGAATCACTAATATTTGTTATCCTGTATTGTGATAAGACAGTTTTGACTAAAACACCRTCAAGCTACTGTCTCTTGGCAAAAGTTTGTGTGTTTGGGTGCACACCAGGATTAGCACTTTAAACTGCCCTGTCATYTTTCCTTCAGGCCTCATGGAGATCAGGCTCACCTGGGGGAACCCTCTTGCCAAATCTGTCCTTCACTGGGACAATTTGGGGCTAGTAGAGGGCAAGTAATTCACTAGAGTCGCCCTGCAAAGGCTCAGCAAATAGAGCAGCTGAAGGGCATCTCCCCAACATTGCTGCTCACTGTGGCTCAGAATCCCAATTTCATATTTTGCCTTGGAGACTCCACTTATACCACCCATCATTGAACTGGGCACGGGTCTAAGACTGCAAATACAACCTACAATACCAGGGAGAGAGCTTCATGGACCTGGGTTTGTAGCTCTGTCGTGGAAGAATGGTGGGTCTGACTCCAGCTCCTCCAGATTTAATTAACAGGGTAGTTGAATTGTGCTGTTAGCTGGCAGCACGAGTGATTATCACCTTCAGAAGTTCTGCTGATGGTGGCATRTGCATTTATTATACTTAATGCCTCCCAAACAGGGGCATTACGGAGGATTATTTCATATTTAAGAAGAGATGCTGCGTATAATTACTTCTGCACTGCTTTGCAAACCATTTGTTTCTGCGAGCTCCCCTCCCGTTACTTCTCTTGCTGGCATCTGGCTTTCTCTGCACATCTTTGGTTTGCATAAGGACGTGAACAGAAAGTGCCGAGGGCTCCTCAGGCTGCTCTGCTTGCCCGGCCCTGTCTGCGGACAGACAGGAGACACAAGCAGGAAAGTTCTTAGGATYTGGGTCAAGACAAGGTGTGCCAGCCAGGGATGGCACTTGGGGTTTCAAGGTTGCTCCGGGATATTTTGTTTAATAGGGTTAAAAACAAAGCAGAAAACACTCAACAAGAGTTTTTAAGAAGTTCAGGTGTTCAAAACACTGCCTAAATTGYAGGTGTCCTGTTCTGGGACAGATGCTTGATGGAGAGGCACCTCTAGGAGCTCTCTTGACTAGTCTCTTCCTTCAAGTCCTAATGGCCTGTCTAGTTTAAGAGTCCCAAAGTTTTTGYCATGATGCTTGTAAATTCTCTGTAGGAATTTAGGAAGTAGGAATTAACGTAGGAATTGCCTAAAGTAGGCAGCCTACTTCTTACAGTAGGAATTGGTATTGAGCCAAAGGCCCCATCTAAGCAGGGATCTTGAGGGAGATAAAAGACAGTGCCAGATGTTTTCAAAAAAATCCTCTGCTATGGATATTGTTCACACCTCATTTCTTCCTCATTCCCACCAGTTTAGCTGCAGATCTCATGGTAGATCGTGCTGGGGTTGCTGTAGCCAGTGTCTCTGTGCACACAGATTATGGGCTCACCTATTGGAAAGGGGTCTCTGCAGACATCCATGATCTTAAACCCTGTTCTCAGAGGTGGAAGGTGTAGAATTCATGCCCTGCAGTCAGGGAAAGATGGTTTCTTAGAGGAGAGATTATTTTCTTGCCTTTGAGATATTTTCAGATGGAAAAAGAAAAACCTTGCATTGTACAGATAGTTAACAACCCTTAAAAAAAGGAAATCTGTGAGACGATAGCCTGCRAAAGCGTAGTTTAAACAACTGACCTTTTCCCTTCTCTAATAGATTGAGACTTTTTGCTTCCACTTTAAGAAAGACAAACCAAGCCAAGGCGAACTTCTCACTAGTAGGCATTTCATTTTTGAGCCAAAAAGTCACTTTGAATAGAAAAGCCAGTGATTTTCCCTCCATGCTTTCTGAAGGTGGAAAAGTGTTAGCCCAAATTGACATTTCCCTATGAATCACTCTGATTTTGGCTAATTGACGTTTATTTATTTATTTATTTCCATCAGAAAGCACCAGCCCCGTGCCTCACCCTCGCCGTGTCTCCGCGGCGGGGTGGCCTGCCGTGACGGCCGCGCTCTTCTCTTCCAGGTGCTCCCTTTCAAAGGTCTCAGCATCCCCATGCTACCTCGTGCCGGCACTTCCACCTGGCCCCCCAAGCCCAGCTCTCGGCCGACTTCGCCCTGCCTGCCGCGGTGCAGCCGCAGCCGGCGCTGACGCCCCACATGGCCCCCGCGCACCAGCACAGCGGCCCCCTGCACCAGTCCCTGGCACCGGTGCCAGCCCTGTCCTTCCAGGAYGTGGCGGGACCCTCCTTCCTACCTCAGGCGCTACACCAGCAATACCTCCTCCAGCAGCAGCTCCTCGAGGCCCAGCACCGCCGCCTCATGCCCCATCCCAGGTAAGGGCGTTTCGYGCTCGGATAGACGGAAAAATTGGTTTTCTAGGGAATACCCAGCAGGCTGGGGGAATCTCTTGGCTCCTTGGCTCTCTTGGCCAAGGGTGCAATGGTGTGGTGCTCATTGAATGTGAAGAGACTTTGGTAAGTTGGGCTGTGGACCCCCAAAGAACTTCTATCAAGTTCTTCTCTGGCTATGTCTTTCCCATGGAAATTAACGCTGTGCACACCTAATTTGTCCCAAGTCAGTTACTATTGTCGCTTATATGACAATAATGGCCACAACGCCTTGGATTTGTAGTGAACCTGCCCTGGTTCGCAGGAAAAGCAGTAGACTGAATGAACAAGCTCAGCTGTTATAGCTTTTGTTTCAAAATCGCATAAGATATTTCACATATGTGCCCCATAAGTGTTTGCTTTTGTGCATGAAGAGCTTGCCACTCTGGTCTAGACTTCTTGGCTGTGGGCTGGCTGCGTGAGGAATGAAGGATGCTGTTGATTCTCTGAAGCACGTTCAGGCAAAAAGGCAGCCTAAACTCGCACTGGGCTGATGATTGCAAAGAGAATTACTGTTTTTCCACAGAGGTGGAAGTGCATGTCTGGCCTTGTTCTGAGTACACTTCTCGAGTGAGAGATTTAAGTAATAAGTAAGATAGGAAGATGTATTTGGAAACTCGTGGAAGCTGCTCGTGTGTTGTGCCCAGAGATCAAGGGCTGGTGAATGATCCCCTGTGGTGATGCTGTASTTGGGAAGGCTACTAAAGGCGGAAAAGTGTTTCTTTTCCTATGCTTTCCATCTGCAAATCATGCCTTCTCATGCTTATTTTGTTTTGCATAAGCTGGATTTTAGGTGGATTTAATGATTAGTTAATAATTGGGTAGCAAATATATGAGAGACAGGGGAGCTGATGTTTACATCTTAGTCATAAGCCACATTCAAATAAAACCATGGAATACAAGTCCATGCAGGAACTGCTTCTGTAAATGCCGTTGGCATGATATCTGGATGCAGGTTCTTGGATAAAAGAGATCCCGGCATAGAAAAGGTCTTGCCTGGACTCAAGGCCCTTGTCTGCAAGCAGCCAGCACCAGCTGCATTTGAAGGACATATATCCCAAACCTTACAGGGGTGGTGGGCACAGTCTTGCTACCAGGAACCTGGGCTGTACCTTCAAGAGAGGAGCCTCTGCTGTGGCTGCTGAGGACTTTTTCTAGCAGTTTGCTTCTCCATTTGCTCCAGCGTTTTCCTTGAGACTTCCTTTGTGGTGGCTTCATCCCCAGCAGTAAGCAGGGATTTGGTACGGAGCTTGGGGGAATGCCTCCACAGTGCAAACCATGCTTGTGCATCCAGCTTGCATCTCTTTAAACATAGAGGTTTTGGTAGGTGTTGCCGWTCAAGTTGCCCATGTTCTTGCTCTGAGTGAAGGTTGTCCAAAAGGACAAAAGTCATGAGGTAGGAATGGAGCTGCTAGGAAAAGAGCTTACAGTATTTTCCGCCGCTTTCTGTTCTTCTGCAAGGGCAGCAGAGGCACAGGAGGAGCCCAAGTCCAGCCTGGTTGTCCATTTTCCAGGGAAAGGTTGGAGGAAGGAGGATGCCAGCAGCCTCCTCCGTGCCTCTCATGCTTGCTCGTCTCCTCTTTCTGCAGGCGAGTTCAAGAGCGCATCTCTGTCCAGACTCACCGCTTGCACCCCAGCTTCGACTTCAGCCACCAACTGCAAACCCCGCAGCCCATGGGGCCCCAGCCCAGGTACCTAGCCGAAGGCACCGACTGGTACGTTTTCCAYCTTTCCTTTCACCTTGTCTTTTGAATGAGATATTCAGGGGAAAAATCCTGAGCGGGCTGATGGGATTAGCCAATGTCATCTTGCCCTGAAGCCGCTGCGACTCATTAGATCTAGTGCTGGCAGCACGTAAAGAGGGAAAACTCATTGCTGGGAGGGCCACGAGCTCGTGCGGAAGCCCTACGCAAGACTGAGCAAGCACATCGTTTCACTGTAGTACTTTTTTGCAAATGTTTTGCTAGACGTGTGTGATAACACCAAGGCATCAGCATTCCCAAGCTCGCTCCACCCACGGATGCAGAGTGCACCTCAAATAGCAACTTCCCCAGGGGATTTTCCTTCTGTAGGGCATTGCCTCCGGCAAAACATCCTCTAAGGGCTTTTTTCTGCAGTCCAAAATCTCCGTCTGAACAAGATCTTCTGCAGTTAAAAAGCACTGAAAAAGAGCAACCTCAACCCTCCCCATGAGGCAGGACAATGCTGCCCCAAATAGGGGGCAAAATGAAATAATGATAATAATAAAAAATGAATCAATGATTTTCACACCATACTGTTTGCCATCCTGGAAAATTCAGAGTAGGAAATCAGTGGTTCTATTTCCAGAGAAGGTTTCGAGCTTTTGCAAGATTACAGAGGTTCGAGGCCCCACTTTGAAAATGAGAAAATAAAACCAGATTTTTGAGCAGCTGCTTGTTAGCTGAGTGAAGTCCTGTCTGTGCTCTGAATGGAAAAAAACAGCCTGTGAACGTGTAACTAGAGATTATCACAACTTTTATGCACCAGGGAGGCAAAATAAAATGGCACAGGAAATCTCAATTACAGCATTTCTGAACATGAGGGTTTCGCTCTGCAAATAGTTAATTGAACAAAGCGCTCTTTCCCCTTCAGGGTTGTAATACACAGCCTAAAACACGGACAGATCCTTCTGCCTTTTCTGTTGTTTTTTCAAGTGTTCCCATTACTGGCACCCCATGATCTGAATTTGACCAATAAGACATTGTTAAGATCAGTTTGTGATAACTGTTCAACCAGTTATAGGGAAAAAGTGGTTCRATCTGGATGGTGTTTGTCTCTCTGTCTCTCCTAAAACTCTTCTTGTATTTAATTAAAATCGTTAGAAGATTCTGATAAAGCATCACTTAATGTCTCCCTCCTCCTCCCTCCAAGCCCCCATGTTGTCCTACAGCCTTGTAAAACTTCAGGAACACGGGTGGCAGGGAAGTATATAGTGTAAAATATATATATCTATATAATATATATAGATATAAATCACCCAATTATAGTTATATTTCTCCTTGGGGCATTGGTACGATTTTTCAGAGTGACTGATGTGAAAATATTTGTCTAATGTGGCACTGGTGCAGGCTCAAAGGTGGTAGTTTACACCGTCATGTGAAGTGGAAGAGACGCAAGTGATCCATCATCTTGGACAGCCAAGCTGTGATCCTTGTGAAGAAATATTGAACTCCTAGCTGGTTCCTTAGGTGATCTTCTGAACAGACTTCTAGTGACTACCATCCAATCTTTTATCTTTGGCCTTATCTGGTAATTATTATTTGTTGGGAGCCTGTGCGGTGCAGCTGTAGCAGTTCTTGAACCTCACAGTTGAGCATCGAGGTGCTGTGCATGGAGCGTGGTGGTTGGTTTTGGTTTTCTTCAGCTAACGTGCTCTGCTTATCCATGTCAAAACATTGGGACAACACTGTTCCGTGCAGACCTATAGCATCACTTTGAGTGTGAAAAAATCCTATCAGTTTTAAGAATCAGATCACAACTGGATGAGCAGTTCAGCAGCTTTGTTGCAGCAGTGATTTGAGCAAGTTAATTGCCATTAGTCTTTGAGAGGGCTCTTCGGCCCTGGATCTCAAAGCACTTTGCGGACAGAGGTGTTATCACTACTGTTTTGCAGGCAGAGAATTAAGAAGGCAGAGAGGAGATGGCCAAGGCCAGCAGAAAGGCTGTGAATAGACCCAACCTCTCCTGGTTTCCAGCTGAACCTTCCATCCACCTGGCAATAGTCTTGAATGATGGGATGGATCTATGAAAATGTGACATGGGACCTGGAAAATGCCCAGTCCTGTGGATTTGTGCTCCAATTGTGCTCTTGGTTGTCTCCTTAGTTTTATCGTGGCCATAGTTTGCCTGTCTAAGTGGCTGGCTTGCTCCAGCTAGCACAGGGCAAGCAARGGGAGTTTCTCTCTTTCCTCAAACATTTTAGGGGACGCTGAAACACAGGGATTTTTGCCTACTTCACAGGCAGTCCTGAGTATGAGATTTCTGCGTTATCTGTCCCCTCATGTCTGTTATCTACAGCTGAGCAGAAACAGTTCCACAGCTGTTTAGTGCATCTTGAAGGCTCCTGACAAGACACAGGGCTTTCTGTTGCTGTTTTCCATGGAGGGGAAAAGAAGTTTGATGCAGAATCGGGAAACAACCCCATACTCTAATTAGCTTTGATTTGGCAAATGCGAAGACAATAGATATTAAAGCTTTTGTAATTATGATAAAAGGAATGACACTTGCAGCACTTGTTTGTTGAGCAATTCTTTGACAGGAGCGGCGAGGGATCGGCTAATTGGATTAGCTATGGAGATGCTGTGTTGGATTCCCAGTGCCTGCAGCGAGGGGAATGGGGCTGCATGGCATCTTGGCCTGCTGGATGGCACCTGCACAGAGCTGGGGCATTTGCTGGTGCCTCAGGRATTTCTGGCTGATGGAGGGGTCCAAAGGGCTGTGCTTCAAGCTCATTTTGCAGTATGCTTATTGGTCATTTGATGTCTCACCATTGAGACAGATTGTGTTTTTTTCTGGAAGGGTGGAAGGGCCCAAACCCATCCGTCCTCCCCAGTCCTGSCCCAGGTGCTTGGGTGAAGCACCCATTCTACTTGCCCTGGCCAGGCTGCAGGGTGCAGTTCTCTGAGGACTCATACAGACATATCTTAAACCCATTACGCTTTCTGGATGGACAGTGGTCCTGGAGCTCCAGAACCACTGCCCTTGTTCTCCCAAGTCCTCCCTTGGCCTTGGCTTAGAGATCTCCAAGGAATACACAAGTGTGTCAAAAAGTGCTCAGGTGAATCCCAATGACTATCCAAAAAGGCTCATTGATGCTCTGCCACAACACATTTAGGTGTATTCCTACAAAAACTCAGAGGCAGAATGCAATTGTTTGCAGTGATGTTGTCGTGMGCTAGATCTGGTCTGGCCAGGTACTATTGCTGAGCCTGGGGAACAACAACTGGAGCCAAAAAGGTGTTCCTCTTGCTCTGCAATTGGGTTGTGTCTGTAAATCTCTTAACCCTGGCTAACACAAGATACCTGCAGCATCCTTGCTTTTCTGTTCTGACTGGGGAAATGTGACCACGTAAAACCAAGTATACTCCCTTTAGAGCAGTAGTATTGCTCTGGATTTGTTCTGAATTGAGGCCTCAAGACAGAGGCACCAGCAGCAGACAAGATCTCACCAAGGGGACGTTGCTCTCTTCCACCACGAGTATGATTTAAGTCATCAAAGCCAACAGCGGGGGGACCTGGAAACAAAAAACAYGCCATTGAAACTGTGCGTTTTCTGGTCTCGCATCCGCAGGGACCTCAGTGTCGACGCGGGCCTGGCTCATGCCCAGTTCCAGGTCCGACCGGTCCCACAGCCCTACCAGCATTACCTGGCCACTCCGCGGATACACCACTTCGCCAGGAGCACGTCCTCGGCACAGATGGTAAGCGAAGCGCTCTCCCCGGGGAATGGTTTGCGTGTTGCCTGCCAGCAGGCAGTCAAAATAAAGGCTGCTATCTCTGCATCACCTGTCTGCTGAGCATCCTGCTTATCTCCGGCCGTGGGAGGCAGCGTCTGAAAGGATCGCGTTGTATCGGCGTGCTCCGGATTAGAGAAAGAGAGGGGGAAAATGACAAGGGAGGATGTTCAGTTGCTCTGGGGAGATGCAWTTGGTGCTGCTACACCAGACAGATGCTTGTTATGGAGGGTAAATCCAGCCCCAGCCCTTGGGAAAAGGTCCCCATGTGCAGATGGCTCCACGGAAAGTGTTTCATCTGGGTCTGTTCCCATCGTGCAAGTGCTGGCTGCATCAGCCTCTGCGTTGTCTGTGGAGTTCTTGCAGGATTTGTTGCGTGGGCAGAGACTGGGGTTATTTAGGGGCCCTTCTCCTCGGGATTCTTCTCGTGTTTTGAGTTGAACCATGTAAGGCTCTTCTAGTCCTTAAGGCAGCCTCATTGATGCCAAAGTGGTGGTATTTCYTCTTGCCTGCTGCTCTTGGGGCCAGGTCTTGACACCTGAGCCCTATAGCAAGGCTAAAAAATCAGAGCTCAGCTGACAACAAATCTGCACTTTTAAGTAATTTCTTGTTTTAAGATAATCTGAGTTAGGGCTTGGAGCTGCGGTGTTAAAGATGCAGCAGAACACATTAGAAGCATTTTTTTCAGACCAAATGTACATTCTCAGTTATCAATTTGTGAGAGATCTATTTAATACACCTCGTTTTGTTCCTGATTATTAAAAGGCTTCTATTGGTGAAGACGTCAGTCTGCTCTTTAATTCTGAAGGTTTAAAGTGCTTATTCTAAATCAGGGTGCACGAGGGATTTTTGCTGTACTGATACAGGTGTTTTTAATCTTCCTTCCTTGCTTCTTGCAGGTTGTTCACGAAATCAGAAATTACCCTTATCCTCAGCTTCAGCTACTTGCTCTTCAGGGCCTGAACCCAAGCAGGCACACGTCTGCCGTGCGGGAAAGCTATGAAGTACGTATCTCATGGACTGGAGTGGCAATTTAATCTCTAAACCCTGTGGAAGYTTTGGTGGAAAATTGTACAGCTCCACTTCACCACATGGCAATTGCAGAGGAGATTGTAGAAGGGGGAGGATGGGGAAATGGGCTCTGTTTAGGTCCCTCGACGCAGCAAAGAGAGGAGATGAGGTTGGGCCGCCCTGGAAATATCATCCCTGTCCCTGYATCAGGTGGCAAAACTCGTTTGATGAAATGTTCACAAACAGCTGGAGGCCTCCAGCAGCTTTAGTGTTAACAGAAAGGCAAAGGAGATGAACAGTTTTGGTAAAGGATGGTCTAATCTGCATCTGCCTGAGGTTGACTCTGGCTCGATTTATGTCTGTAAATGAAATGCTGGGTTTTTTTTTTTTTTTTGGACCTTTATTTCCCTGCCTGTCAAATGAAGAAGAAATCTCACCCTAATTTCTGCAACATTTGACATCCAGGTCTCAGCTCTGCATCTTGAAACCCTAGCTCAAGACTTGAGCTTATTAGCTCAAGCTCCAAGGCTCAAATCCATCATTAAAGCCCAGCTGAATTGCTTTCCATGGAAATTTCCCAAGAAGAAGCAACGGGGAAGGAGCCTCAYGGGCCAGGGCCTGGTGGCTCCCATTTGCCCATGGGGCCTGTAAGCTGGGCATTTTCCTGATGTCTTTTTCCTGCTGTTTCTCTGCTGAAGGAGCTGCTGCAGCTGGAGGACAGGCTGGGCAGTGTGAGCCGGGGCGCCGTGCAGAACACCATCGAGAGGTTCACCTTCCCACACAAGTACAAGAAGGTGAGCTGAGAAATGGCAGCAACCACCAGACCAGGCCAGGAGTGTTGGGCATGGAGGGGAAGGACCTCAGTGGGTCGCCAGCTGTGAACCCCTGGGGCTTCCTGGTCCTTGGGAGTGCTTCCACCAAGGCCATGGCCTGTGGACTCATGGCATGGCTCGTGGGGTGCTCATGTGGGGGGCATGGCTYATGTGGGGAGCTGGCAGCTCTTTCTCTCTGGATATTTGGGAGGCCAGACTTCCCTAGTTTTAGGGATGTCCTCATCATTTACCTTCCTCCAACTCTGCATTCTGGATAAGTGTTAGAAAGTCCAGTCCATGCTGAATTATGTCTTTGATTTTGCTGCAGAGAAGACCGCAGGAGGGCAAAGCTGAGCAAGAGGATGGCGAGGAGTCAGACACTGACGAGAAGTGCACAATCTGTCTGTCCATGCTGGAAGATGGAGAAGACGTGAGGTATGATCCTCTCTGCTTCCCTTTTCCCCAATCTCCACTGCCTTTCCAGCAGTCCCAGATGTGCTTTTTGGGGGGACAGCTTGCTGCAGTGAGTTGTGGAGGGTGGCCCTCACTCTTGTCCTGTTTTAACCAATGGAGCTCTGTGGGGTGCAGGCAAACAAATGTTATTGCATGGATTTGGTGTGGGCCATGCATAGAAAGAGTTTTGAAACAGCAGGAGGGCTGTTTTTAGTAGTATTTTCTATGTATGCATCACCTGCCACAAAACTGGGTGGTGACAGGCCACATTACAAGTGGCAGAGGAGGAGRATGGGTCTGAAGACCCCCAAGACAGCTGTGAGGAGCTGAGGGGCATTAGCATCCAGGCTTCAAGGATGGCCAAATCATGGTAAAAGCCCATGACCTTGGGGCATCCACTGGGAAGGATGCAGATGTTCCACCTCTTCGTGGTTGTCTGCCAGCTGCAGTCCGTGTCACTAATCATGGGAACAACCTCCTTCAGGAGCACGTTGTTTTTTTCCATATGTTTTTTAGCCTAGAAGGACATTTATCTCCAACCTGCCATCCCTTCAGTGGCCCTTTCCAGCTCTCCTGAGGCTGATCCCATGGACCTCTCCCATCCTTGTGACCCTAACAGCAAGGCTATCTTCCTTCCGCAGGCGTTTACCGTGTATGCATCTCTTCCACCAAGTATGCGTGGATCAGTGGTTGGCCACCAGCAAGAAGTGCCCGATCTGCAGGGTGGACATTGAAACACAGCTCGGCTCGGACAGCTGAAAGAACCGKCCGGATGCGCCATTTTTCCTTATCAGGTCGTATGGCCATCAACCCTTGCAGCAAAATTTTGCCTTCTGAGCCATTTGATTGAGAGGAGGAGTCTGCAGGCACGTTAGCGAGAAGGAGGAATTGGCGGTCCGATATCTAGGGGTAGGAGCTATTGCACGTACAGGATCCTGGCCCAGTGAAAGGGAGCTGGCGTTCCCGGCGCTCGCAGATCCCGTGCTGCAGAAGATTTAGTCTTGAACATGAAGGAACTAGCTGTGGTAGTCTGGCCTGTCAATCCTGCATTTCATGAGGATTGTATATATACCTCTCGATTAAGTAGAAACATGTTAGGGGTTCTTTAGCTATTTCTATGGATGGCAGCTGGAGCATGTTAGCTTAAGAAATGTTGTGTTTGATGCCCTACTCATCTTGTGGTGGACATGTTGCTGTTACCTAATTTGCACCAAATATTTTTTCATAGATTCCTTATTTTGGTGCCTGATTAATAATACATTGCAGAGGGGGAATAGAGAGGTCGAACTTTCCCACCCTCAGGGGGGAAGAGGCGAAAAAGCAAAATCCTGTTTACAGTCAGAAGGGTTGCGCTCTTTGCCTCAGTCGCATGTACTTCCTTTCCTTGTGTTTACAGTGTGTTGCAAATTTAGAGACGCCTAAAAAAAAAAAAAAAAAAAAGAAAAAAAATATTGGGAATGAAATGAATGAAGCAATAGGGAGACACTTCGTTCCTGCTTATCTGCTGGTGCTGGACACTTTCTGTAGGGGCACAATAGAGACATGCATTCTCTTTCTTTTATTTCTGTATCTTAATGAAGTAGCTTGACATACCAAATCCGAAGCAGGTCACGGGCTATCCTGATGATTGTAATTTTTCATATACCTTTCTCTWGTGAGCGCTCTGCATTGTGGCCCCTATGGCATGGACCTTCCCACACCAACACGGAATACCGTGTCAACCCATGACCATCCTTGCCATGATGGATGCACCCTGGTGCAGGTCTGCCCGATGGGTTTGAGAGCTCCTAGACTCTTTGTTGGCTGAAAAAGATGATTATAGGGGTCTGCCCCCACAGTTGTGCTTTGGTGGATCCCTTGGAAATCACACTGGGAAGGTGGTGAGGCCCCTTCTCCGCAATGCAAAAGCACAAGACGATGCACTAACTAAAGGCAGTGTCCAAAAAGAAAAACCCAACCTAGCAGACTTGGTGCAAAATTCTCAGTGCCACAGTCCTTCCCGCACATCCCTCTTTCCTGGCTCCCGCAGGGACAAGCAAGCAAGGCATTTTCGAAGTCTATTATTACTATTATAATTACTTTTAATCCACTCTGGCTCATGGGCTGCTGTGGCAAATCTCTCAGAGCAGCTCTGATAACAGGATGGGAGGAAAAAAAGGGAGAATTTGTGTGGTTGGTAGGAAAATGATGATGATGTGAGCATTTCCACCCAGGAAAGGAGTTTTAAAGGCAATTTTAAAGGAGGATTTGCTGCTTTCTAGGGGGRCTGGACTTCAAGACCATGTCAAAGTACACATATTTACACACTAGTACACATTAGTACACACACAAACACACTTTATATATGTTTATATATATATATGTGTGTGTGTGTGTGTGTGTATATATATGCACACATATTTCACTCTGTATCCATACGGAAACTAGAGTGATGATTTTAAAAGGAGCCAAATGCTAATTTATCAGTCTCGTTATAATTGTGCACAAAGTAGACCTTGACATTAGTCCCTGAATGGGGGATAGGTCTGTGATACACGGATTGCAGACCAGCAGCCCCCAGGACTGAGCAGCAGTGGGATTAGAGCCGGCCATTCCCTCCTCTACCCAAAAATCCCTCCGGAGAACCAATACCAACTAGAGAAAAGATTTTTTTTTTTTTTTTAATATGATGTATTTTATTTTAATGTATTAAGGGAGTAAAAGAGAGGTGCAGAGGAACAAGGGGAATTAATAAGAATTTTTTACACTTAAACACTTGTGGATAGAAGGGTTTCTAGTTCCTGTGAGCCCCTGTTTTGCTGTTGGGGTAGCAAGGCGAGCGCGGGGTCTGGCTCCAGCAGCAGCAGATGCAAGCGGCGTTWCAACCACTATTAATACCACTTAGCAGCAAAGCAGGGCAAGTTATTGCTCTTTACATACACTGTAAGCCGGGCTGTCCCGGGGGACAAAGCAGGGGAAGGAGCCRAGCAAATCCAAGCCCTCGCTCCGGGCAAGCTGCGCGGCAGGGAGGAGGCACCTCCCAGCCCCGCGGGCTTTAATTTTCCTTTTTTTTTTTCCTTATTTTTAATTTTTTTTTTTTTTTTTTAAAAAGCCTATGCGAAAGTATTACTCTTTGCCTAACGAACAAGCACAGTTTTTAAAAATTGCTGAAGAAAAGCACCAAACTCCCAAGGTCTCGTGTGAATGGCGGGTGCCGCGGTGCGTGAGAGCTTGCAGCGTCTGGAGTGGCGTCGGTGTGTCCGGTTCCTTTGCGTTTAAACCACTCGTGCGAGTAGATTGCGGTTCATAGAGTGAGTTCAGAACAAAAAAAAAAAGAAAAAAAAAAGAAAAAAATTCTCTAGAAACAAAACATCGATAGTTTACAGGGTTTTGTGAGTTTAAATGCCTTATATTTAACAATCATAATTTATGACTAACTTGTAGATATTGTGGGTTCTTATTTAATTATTTTTATAGTTGTTTTTTTGCATTTTTAATTATAATTTATTTATTTAGAAATTAATACTAATTTTTTTTATTACTCCTATTACCTCATTTTTGCATTGTTTCTGGGAATGGAATGCTTTGCATGCATCGGTACTTAAAACAAAAGTTAAACATGGGATGTGTGTGTGTGGGGTAATGCTTCTCTTGTCAAAAAAAAAAAAAATCAGGGTGTGTGATTACAAACTGTATTACTGTGGTGCTGTTACCTTGGATACATTCCATAAAGAAAAAAAAATGCAAACCTTTTGATTCTGTATGCTGTGACCTAGTGGAAAACTTGCAATATAGTGACGGTGTTTTAGCACATATATATGAATATTATTTGCACTCATAATCAAACTCCGGTGATCCTTCCACTCACCCCCTGTTGTGCCGAGGGCCAGGACGGTGCTCCAGGGGCTCGTGCTGGCGGTCCCCATCGGTGGTGGCCTCTAGCAGCTCCCATACAACACCCGTGGGAGCCGTGTCGGAGGGGGACGGCAACCCCTGGAATATTTTAACCTTTAAGCCATAGCTGCCCGCTCGGTCACCACAGCCGGACAGGGTGGGATGTGCATCTTAACCCACCCCACGTGGGCTTGGATGCAATTTTTTATTTGAGGGGTCGGAGGGCACCAACGTGCCTGTACTTTAATTTTTCTTTTCCTCTTTGCCCCTTCAGGGTGCTGCTCCACTTTGCCCACCTTATCCCACCCCATGGTCAAAACCTCTCCGTGTTTTTTTTTTTATTTCTTTTTCCCCCTTGCTACTTTTTAATGCTCCTCCCTAAGCCCACGTTGGTCGTTTTCCCTCTCACCCTGCAAAGACTCCGCAAAAGGGATGCGCAAAGCCAGGAGCAAGCAAGCAAAAATCCTCGCCTTCGAGGGCAGGGGCTCGTGGAAGGATCACCCACATTTTTTGTACTCCTACTGCTGTTCTGTTGTGCTGTGCGACATTTTGCTACATAGACTATTTTATAGAAGAAAGCTAGAAAAAAAAATATTTATTATTAATATTAAAGCAATAGTGCATTGAAGAAATTGAGGAAGAAAAAAAAAGACATTAGAAATTGTGTAAATGCTTAGATTCACTTTTGGTGGATTTTTTGTACTTTATTTATAACTAATAAAATGAATTGCATTGCTAACTATATACCGGTACTGCACAGAAGTGACTTGGTTGGGCACTCATGGTCTCCTTATCTCCCTTGTACCTCTTATTGTTCCTTGTCTTTCCATCCATGGTGGAGGTTTCATGAAATCCTGTGAGGCTTCAGCTGTGCTTTAATCCCACCAATGTCCAAGYCTAAAAATTTTCTGGCAAAACCAGTCTTTTTAGGATGAAATACTTCATTTTTTTAAAGCATTTCTACCTCCTCCTGAATGGGAGCACCACGTCATTGCCCGAGGACACAATTCTCCTTGTGCATCACCCAGTGAAATGCAGTGATTTGTGACCAAATCCTTGTTTCTTTGGGAGCAAGCAAATCCTCCTTTCATGGTTTATAAGCTCGAACTTGGAAAAAATATTTTCCCTTAGCTGGTTTGCACATGTGGATGGGACATGTGGATACTCTGGGGCTGCTGCCACCTGGGAGCTCATGGCACTGTGGGATTAAGCCTTTAAATAATTTTGGGATGTTATTGCCTGGAGCTGAGGTCCTTGTGGACTCCAGATGCATCCTAGGTTAATGTCTCAATTTGGTGACTTGGCACCAAAATTACTTTCTAGACCCAGCCTGGAAATTGTCTGCTAAAGACGGATGCGTCCTCTATCTGCAGCCCACGTTGCCTCAAGGATTTCCTAGAGGGTCCTGCATCCTGCACAGATCCTGATGGATCTGCTCACTGCAGCAGCCTCCTGGGGCTGGGAGGGTCAACCCTGAATCATGACCATGTTGAAATGGACACCTTGACTATGCTTCTTTTCATCAACAGCACCAAAGTGCCTTCATGAATGGCTCCCAAAGCCACATCCCCATAGTGCTACCACCTTTACTCTTGCCTATCATCCCGACTTTTTACAATTTTTAGCTAAAGAAATGTGTGTTAAGACCATATGGAGAAATATAGTTGAGAAAAAGCTATAGGGTCTGTGCCTTTGCCCAGCATGCAGCTTTGGGGTGCCRTGTCCTGCAGGTATAAGCTGCCTAAGCCCTGCAAAAGGCACAGTGCAGGGATGACTTTGACTTCTTTTTCACAAGTTTTTTTGCTTGGCCAAGACTGTGTTGCTTTTAGCAGCTTAATGCAAATCCAGCCCTTGGAAGAATTCCATTCGGCCTTATTGCTTTCGTGGCATTAGTTGTTGTAGCAACAGACAGGCCCCAAGGAGCCAAGACGGAGTTGTGCTTTGCACAAGCAGGGGGCATTTTAAAAGTCTTTTAAAAAGACAAAAAAAAAAAAAAAAAGGACTTTAAAAAGAAAAAAACAACTTTTTTTTTCATGCCTTGCCAAGGTCCTCTTCCTGGGAGGCATTAGCTTTGCTGACCCCCTATTAGCAAAATCTCCTCTGGCCTTTTTGGGGAAAGCATTGCTCCCAAAGTTTAGTACTGCTCCCAGGCACAACGAGCAGGGGCACAACATGCACATGACTTTCTGCCCAGGGATGGTAAATATTTAAGTCCAGGATTTTCACTCCCACTCCTCATCAATGCAGCAACTGCAAAATTGCAATGCAGCAAGACACTAAGACAAACTGGGTGAGACCAAAATCATACACTCCTCCTTCATAGGACCTTGATGCATGGCTCTAGGTACTTGGCTATCAGATTTTTGTGATTTCCCCAGCTGTGATTTTGTACAGAGGCCATGTGGTCCCAGTCCCGCAGTCCCAGTCCCACTGGGTCCCAGCCCAGT